ACAGTTGATGATACTGTCAATACTATAGTTAGAGTTGTTAAGTTGATTTTTTTACCCCTCTCCTCACTGTTCTTCCTGTCTTTTCCTAGGTCGCCCTGAGGCTGTCATTGAAGACTTTAAACTGGACATGGCCACACCCACTTCCAGTCACATGGTAGGAAGATGCTTTGTTGCCACTGAGACGGGCACCTTTTTTGACGGCACTGGTTTCCTGAAAGCAGGTGAGATAACACATTGGCAGGGCTCCTGCATGCTGTCGATTTTCTGTGTGATCTAAACATCATGTGTGAAACGTTGTCAGCCTGTTGTCGGTATCACTACCATTTGAACCATCTGGTTCTGGTTCAACCATCTTGTTATGAAGGTGAATATAATCTCTCTGCATCTTTCCTTCTTTATCTAGTCTCTTCCTACAGAGTGGGTCTAGATGTGTCGATCGCATTAGAGTTCAGAACCAGCAAAACCAATGGAGTGCTTTTGGCCGTCAGTAACCAAGCCAGCGATGGACTCGGACTAGAGATCGTCCAGGGCACGGTACAAAATAACGTTTGAAGGAATAGTTTGACATTTTCTTTGTGGTGTAGAGTTAGATGAGAAGATCAATACCACTTATGTTCGTCACTTGAACCATGAAGCTACAGCCAGCAGCTGGTTAGCTCAGTATAGTGATGAGCTCACAAATGAACATGTATCTAAGCATAGAGCGGGAACAGGGAAGCAGCTAGCATGGCTCTGTCATTTTAACGGAAAGATGCAAAAGTGGTATCGATCTCCTCATCTAACTATTAACTGTATATAAACAATTTTTCCGTTTCCATGTTCCCTCTCCTCCCTGTAGCTGTTCTTCCATGTTGACAACGGAGCTGGACGAATCACAGCAGAACACACGCCTGAGGGAGAGGGCTTCTGCGATGGCCAGTGGCACTCCATCACTGCCAACAAACTTCGCCACAGGTTGGAGCTGGTGGTGGACGGCAAGCAGAGCCAAGCAGAGAGTCCAAACGCACGCTCCAACACCTGCGACACCAACGACCCCATTTACGTCGGAGGATATCCCAGTATGACCTCCTTCTAACGCACGTCCTTGAAACAATACTTATACAAGCGTAAAATTAATTCTACATCCATTCATATGTGAGAATTGTAATCTGTTAGTGTAATAAAATCAAAAAAATACACATCGAAAACTATCCAGGGGAGCAGCCACATTTTGTATATTACTGCTCATACAGAGACACACTGTGCTGTAAGACATTTGTATCTCTTACTTTCAGGTGGAGTTCGACAGGCAGCTCTCTCTACCAGCACTTCCTTTAGAGGTTGTATGAGGAACCTGAAGATCACCAAGGCTTCTAAGACCATGGACGTGCAGTTCAACAAGGCTCTGGAGATCAAAGGAGTCCAGCCTCTCTCCTGTCCTGCTGTAGCCGCCTAACTGGTACCACACAGCCTCCTCCTTTGTTGTTTCTCCCTAATACTTCTCCAAGGAGCTACACAGGGCTATAAAGTCCAGAGTGTGCAGCATTTTGGCAACATCTTTGGTCTTTGAAGCTGCAACAGGCAGATTTTTATCCAAAAATAATCCCATCCTATCTCCCTTTTATCAATACAAATGGTGAAATGTGTGCATTCCTATGGAAGCCCAGTAAGCAGTAGTAATGTCAGAAGATGTTTTTACATATCTTTGGGTCTACAGTGGGTATGAGGCAGATTTTTGAAATGTCTTTATATTTTACTGCAAGCTGACAAAGACGCATAGGAATTTATTTTAGAAAGAGTACGCTCTAGACCTGCTCTATTTGAAGAGTGCTTTGAGATAACTTCTCTCATGATTCGGTGCTATATAAATAAAAATTGATTTGAATTTCAAACATCTACATCTTGCTGCTGTTTTTAAGCTACCAACATGCAACACTGCCCAGTACGGCTTTCAAAGAGCAAGACAATAAAACATTATTCTGCATAAAATTCATCCCCACACACGTTCAGTATGAGACCCTGTATTTTTTTGTACAGTGTAAGACTCTGGTCAATAAATCTATAATGGCTACAAACTGAGGTCTCGCAGCGTTTTAAAATGTTTTACAGTTTGTTTACTGTCTTCAAGTGAAGGCGGATAATAGTATTAAGGCCTGTGCTGTGGTTGCAGGTTCTAACAGTATTAAATAATTTTATTCTGGGAAATGTGTGATTATGTGAACATTAACATTGTTTTTCAGTGAAGTCCCTCTTGAAGAGGTAGAACAGGGTATGTGGAGTCATACATTTATATTTCCATCCCTGTTACACAAGTTTCTCTGGAGACAAGTGAACATTTTCAATCTATATCTTTGTGTGATTTTTCTACATTTGTCCTTCATAAACCTTGTTCCCTTTTTTAGATAGTTAACACAGAAATTGTGCAGTCATTACCTTCTCACCTTCATGTCAAGAAAACCATATATGAAGTTGGTCTTATTTTCCACAGTGATCAAGGTTTACACATCCAGCAGCTCTAAAGCCAGAAGAGCTGTGGTCCACATGTCCAGTATTTATTTTATTACTCAGTTACCTAAGTAATTATATGTAGAACATACTGAATTATCCAATGATGGGGAAAAACTACGCCAGGTAATAGCTGTATGCTACACTGACATGACGGTGAGTAGATAATGAGAGCAATTTCAATTTCTATAGGTTCAAGTTTTCTTCAACATTCCACAATTTATTGTCAGTAGATTTGATTGATTATAATGAGAAATTTCCACACAAGCTGGAGCTTGTATTTCTGTTCAGTAATGTTAAGGTGGCAAGTTGAAGGTACAAGGTTTCTGTTGGACACTTAATGGCTAATTCTGCATGGTGTGGCTGAAAATACATAAGCAGCTGTTTCTGAAATATATTCTTGATAGCATCACACAGATTGTCCTGTCCTTTTTTTTTTAAACTGCAGAGATCCCAAACTGAACCATGAGGATAGACTTTTATGACAATTTGGAATAAATATTGATATTTGTATGATAAGATTAATATGATATGACTTATAATTGATAAGATAAAGACTGAACAGACGCCTCACAGTTCCTCTAGGTGGTGGTGCTGCTGCGACAGCGTTCACAGCTTCTATCAGCTCAACCACCATGACAGAGAGACTGATTCCCCCTTCTGTGAATAATCAGATTACAACTGTCCACTGCTGGAGTCCCTAAAAGAGTTTCCAGTTGATGTTCACAGCATCAGTAACTGAAGTTGACCACAATTGACTTCATTCAATTACTTTTTGGGATCTGGGTGACTTAAATATTAGATTGATAGATATTAGAGTATTACCAGTATTCATTTGATTATTATATATAACTGTTATCCTGCTTTAGTTTGACTTTTCTTCTGTATAATCTTTAATAATTAACACGAGAAGGTCGTTCTCGAGACATTTACCAGCATTTTCATTCCAAATGCACTAGAGGGCAGTATGTGACTACAAAGAGCAAAGCTGTACCTGATTGTTGGAACTGCATTCAACGTGCAGCTGGTGTTTGGTCCCATTACCCCAGGAAACATGACATTTATCCATTTGGTGTGATGTAAAAGGTGAATTTCTTTGCAGCTCCTGGAGAAATTAAATGGACACAAATGAAATAATGGGCCAAGTCCCTCTCTTTATTGTGCATTCCTCTTTTATTATCATAGTCCTCTTTACATAAAGGTGAAGAATGGTTAGGAGGTCAGCCCACTAAACCTCATTGTGGCTGCCTGAAGTGGAATGTTTAGAAGATAGAAGAAAGCCTAATGTTACATCAACTCACTTTAAAGTAAAACATTCATTTTTGGTAAAATTATCAGCCTGTCCGTACCTTTTAGTGACAAGATCACAAGTCTGTCTGTCTGGTGCACTTTTTTTTTTTTTTTTACAAGGCTTTGAGAAATGCTTTGCTATAAATAGACAATGTGCTTACAGAGGCAGTGGTAATTGTGTTTTTTCTTACAGCATGTGAGAGAATCTAAGAAATGCAGTGCAGTGACACTTGTTTCGATTTTCTGGTGATGACTTCTACAGTTTGTGCTGATGGCACTATTCATCTTTTCAGCGTGATTGAAAACAATATAGTTAAAAAAAAAACAACAAACAAACAAAAAAACATATTTTTTTTTACCTGTGTTCCAGGAAAGATCTACTGTACCAGAGCGGGTCGAGGCGGCTCAAGGTGCTTACAGGAGAAAATATACAAGCTTTCATCTGTAGGTTTAATCAGTCTGTAATAAGCATAAAAACATACATTAGTTTATATGATTATTATATGAAGTGTGAACACACATTGAAACAAACTACACCAACACTGGACACCCAGAGGTTGTTAATCTTGTGTCACCCCGCGTGAGTAGATTGATCAAAAAGCTCATTTACTAAGAAGTTGGTGCACTTCTCCACCTGGTTCACCGATAAAGCGAGCAGACTTGCCATCCATGTGAAGAGTGAGCAGAAGTTCAGTTCGAGAGTGCAGGTGTTTACTGTAAAGCCCTCCTTTTCCCTTATATCATCCTAGTAAACGATGTGAGATAAAACAGCTAGCTACAGCAGTAATTTAAGTCTCTTTTTGACATCAGTCTAGGCATTCGAGCATTCCATGTTTATATCACTGAAAGTAAAGTGAGAGCCTCTTCAGCTACCGTATTAACATGAGTGTAGATAGTAGATAGAGAGAAACAACAGAGCCCGCTAAGGCGCAGGCTTTTGAGTAGAAACCTCCTAAGAAGAGAAGAATTGTTTATCGTCTACACTGCGACAGCACTGTCCTGGTGTCAGGTCTGGTGACTTATTGCATGCTGTCGGTCCTCTTGAACTAATCTGAGGGGAGTTTTCAAACGTGGTGGCGGTCCGGTCCAGCAGTCTGGGCTCCGTTTGACGCCCTCACCCGCCTCCCGCAGCCACACCCGAACACCCCAGGGTCCTTTTCCGCCTGCGCCCCAGGTGTAAGCAGCTCTTCTGGGTATGGTTCCTCCTACTCTTGATCCAGGCCTTGTCAGGATGACTGCATGAGGCCCGTCAGTCGTTTGCCCGTCAGTGACTTGCCCTGGGAGGGAAACAGTGAGAGCGAGGGAGGTGAGGGTGACAGCTGTTTAAATGCCATCAACTTAAAGGCTTTCCTGAGGATTTAGAAAGAGCAGTGTGGGAGGGAAAACTGAGCGAGGGACAGTTAGCACACATTAACAGATAATAGCCAGTAAATGAACAAAGAAAGCAGTGATATGACAAGGAAATGCCATTGTTGACTACAAGCTGGTGAGACTTACATAACATATATTTATTGATCCTAATCCTTCATGCTCAGAGTGTGTCTACTGGGAGACGCCTTGTTTGGTCTGTTATGGCTGCAGGTCTGTGTACACCAAAGGCTTCAGGTGTTTGGGTGAAAGAAATAACACCTGTCACTGTTTCAAAGCATAAACAGAGCAGACTCCAAAACTCCAAAGCCAACAGTGTAAAGCAGAGGAGCGCCTTGATCCCCTTATTTAGCTCGAATTTCACATTGTCAAACCTTCCTTTATTCATTTATCCTGCATCTCGCTTTCATTGGTCTGCAAGCAAGTCTTTGTTCACAGCTGGACACATTAATTACTGCAATGAACAACTTGTTCTCCTCAGTCAACTAATCACCAGATCATTTCCTAAGACCAATATCAAGAAAAAGAACATGTCCCCTCAGGGAAGGAGCCAAAGTGCAGTATCAGTGGACATGCTTGAATTACTGAGCTCAGGCAGAAATTACATTAAAACTTTTGCAAGTACTTTTTCAAAAAAGAAAAAAAGAACTGAGTCACTAATTGTTCTTTCTACTCTTTGTTGGGGACATGAAACAGATGTGTGTTATATTTCATCTCACTTTAATGAATGCTGTTTTAAGAGTGAAAAGCGGACGCAGCGGGACACTCACCACACTGCGAGTGAACTTCTCCAGGGAGGTGCGTCGGCCCTGCTCCGTTTCAGGCTGAGGAGTCAAAGGGAAACGGGAGAGAGAGGGAGGAGTGTTCAGAACTAACGTATTCAAATGCGTCTTTGACAAATCTGCTCATTTTTAACGGTCAGTTTACAAGCTCGTTGGCAAAATCTTTTCTTTTTTTTTTTTCTCCACACATAACAGCTCTGTGTAATCGCTGTGGCTGCTTTGAAAAAATTGCAATAATGTGGTTTTTCAACTTAAAGTGTAAAATGGTTGAAAGTCAAAGCAATTTAACTAATGTGAAAACAATGAAGTTTGTACAGAATTAAGTGTGACGTTATCATATACAGTGGCATGCTCCAACCTCACCTGTCCCCGCTTCAAGGCAAGAAACCACTATCACCCACATTTTTCTTCATTTGAAGATGTCTCACTGATGCCTGTTTACCAAGTGACCTTGGCGAGTAACCTTCAGTTCCTGCTTTGCCACTGCTGCATGCTAGCACTTAGTTCATATAAAATACTGTCACAGAAGTTGACCCATGGGTTGATGACAAAACAGAAACACACACACACACACACACATACTTTCTTCCTTGCCATCAGCAGGTCCTGGTACACGTTGGAGCGCAGGAAGCGAGTATAGCTGTCACTTTTCATCAGTTTGTAGATGTGGTCCTGAATTGAAAGGGTGAAATTGAGAGACACGAAGAGAAAGAAAAGGGGTGGGGGGGGGAGTTGGGGTTAATACAGAATATGGCTCTTCTGTGCTAATGATATGCACCAGTTTGCAAACTCAGGCAGAGTAAACTAAACGAGACTGTCGCAGAGGGAGAAAGATGGTTGTAGCTCGCTGCCAACTAAGTGACAGGCGAAATCTACTCTTTACTTAACTCTTCCCTTTTAAGCGTGTAACAGGAGAGGAAATTTGATAGACACCACCCACCCCAGCACTCCTTCCCCCCCCAACCTTATCCATCACCCAGCGAGGCGTATTCTCCAGAAATCACCACACAATATAAACCCATTAGCCGATACCGGTGCAGTGTGTTAAGAAAGACAAACGCAGCAGTGTAGGATGGAGGCAGCGCTGACACTGATCACCTGAAGAGATGTAAATTAAAAAAGGGAGATATAAGCGTTGTGACTGGCACTGAGATTAGGCCCTGCAGCAGAGGAGATTTGTCATTATATTTCCAACTAATCTTTGACCTCAATAAGAAAAAGTATTTATTAGGAGCGTGTTGTATGTGGAGAGGAAATCCTGATGCATAAATGTTCTTTTCCTTTTATCTGAGGTTTTAAAATGCCCAGCGCTTTCCCATCTTCTGTGCCTTACACACTGTTACCGACCGTTATGTTGAATAATATTACCAACCAAAATCTGACCCCAATAATAAGTGGCAATCTTGTCCCGGGTGTACCCCCCCCCCCTCCTCCCCCCCTCCCCCCGTACCCACTGCAGGATGAGATAACAGATGGACGGATGGGTGGATAAATAATAGGGGAGGACAGTTCAATAGCTAGTACAAATATAATGTATAATGTCAGAATTGTGATGCAAATTATTGATGACAACCCTCTTTATTGTATTCAACTTGTATTCCATCTCTCCGTGTGATCAGCTGCCAGTAGGTGTGTAGAGGGTCACTTTAGCTGTAGCCGGTGGATTCTGTACATTAAAATGCAGCAGGTGTATTATTTATGTGTATTAGTGAATTTCCCTTTAGCTTAGACAGGCTAACCTTTCAGCTGACAGGTGTGAATAAGGAGGTTTGGCTCTTGAATCGCCATAAGGGATTCTGTATGGCATTTAAGTAAATTGATTATTTTTCTCGCTGTCTTGTTTAGATGTAATTTATAAATACCAGTTGCAGATATATAACTTATTAAACAAGGCAGTCAGCCAGTGCGATACATTTCTTTTCCTTCTCTCTTTCCTCCTGTGTCTTGTATTTTCCCCACCTGTGCGTCCTCATAGCTGTATCGCCCCGGGTCTTTCAGGTTCTGGCTGGTGCGTTCGTAGCTGTGGGAGTCCAGGTTGATGGTGCTGGGTGCTCCCTCCGCCAGGAACTCTGCCCAGATGTTCTCTGCCCCCTGTGCAACTTCCTGCTGGGGCATCCTCTTCAGGTCCTGCACCGCCAACCAGAACCTGAAACAGTAGAAATCATAAAGCGCTTCAGATACAGTCATGATTTGACTCGTGTCCGAACAATGTGGTCCACGTGAACACAAGTTATTTGTCGGTGAGAGATGAGAGACCGAGAGACTGAACACTTTCACACTGGATACAGATGTTAATGATCTTTTATCCTAAGATAGTGTCAAAATCTTCCCTAACCCATTTCTAAAAATAAATTGATGATTGTGTCTTTAAAATGACTAAAACCATTGGAATTTCATCATAACTGAGATTTTGTCACTGTCCATTCCTTGTTGTTTCACTCATTTTGAGAGGAATACAATTTTGAAAAAATTTAATGTGAGAATTAATGAATTGTTATACATTTGCCATTTTATTTTTATAGCAAACAAACTGTAGTGAAATTAAAACAATGCAACTAATTATACACACTTGAGGATTCTTGCTTTCCTGCTTGAAGTAATACACAGGAGAGAAAGACAGTAAATGAAAGGAAGAGAAACAGAACTGCAAGCTCCAGAGCAAAATCAGGATTTAAAATAACAAAATGTGAAACTTTTTAACGGTGATTGGATTTTTTAAAGACTGAGCGAGCAGACAAAAAGGGGAAAAACATTTAAAAATAGTCCATTTCAGTCTGAAGCTGTTAAGGTGCAGTATAAGAAATGGCGACTCTTCAAAGACATGAAGTGTGACTCGTGAAAAAGGGACTTCCTCTGGTCAAGTTTAACATTTTAAGGCTTTCATTTTAGACATTTCACTGGGGCATGCTCAGACTGTAGTCCTGCACGGAGGCAGGTCTTCAACTGTGTTAAGCACCAGAGGCAGCAGCGAGCCACTGGCTGACTGCCTCCAATATTAGTTTGTATCTATATTGATCTGTGGACTGGTTCAGCAATATAGAGAAACACCTCTGGGGCCCACGTCGCTGTCTCTCTCACTCTAGCTATTCCGCACTCAGTGTCGCTCAGTCTCTGTAGTGCTATCCCACAAGCTCCCTCATAAAACCAAAAGCAATTAAAAGGAAAAGGAAAGCAGAGGTGAGGAGTGATAAAGGTGTATGCTTCCTCACATACGTGTGCATGTATGTATGTATGTGTGTGTGTGTGTGTTTTCTCTCACAGACTGTGAGGTCTTTCTGTCCTGACAGCATGAATCTGTACGTCTAAATGAAGGATGAATTTAATATATTTATACTGTGGATCAATAAACAACAACGACCTCATTAAATCAAGACAACACACACTTGCACATTTAGAGAGGCTCTAACAGCTGCAAGGTACTTCCCTCCACTGTTGATTCATGGGATATAGGTGGTTAGCCATGCTGTTGCTGTTTGCTACCTGTGTGTGTTATTTTTGGTTGCCGGGGGCCTGGACGTGTTTGAATGTGTGCGAGTGTGTGTATGTGCTGTTTTGGGGGATGTATCTCATATAGTGGAGCGGTGATTGATTTGATTTTTTTTGGAAGATGAGGAGGAGGTAAAAGGATGATGGGATGGATGACTACAGGTCCAAACCTGACACAGAGTCATGTGAAACTAGCAGTTTATAGTATTGACTGGATGGCAGCGGTGCACAGTACAGTCCAGTGGATATTAGCTGCGCTTTGAGATTTAAAGGAACAGTTTGACATTTTGGGAAATAGGCTTATTAACTTTCTTACAGAGAGTTGCATATGAAGATTGATACCAATGTCATGCCTGTATAGTAAATATTAAATCACAGCCAATAGATGGTTAGCTTAGCTTAGCTTAGTTTAACTTACTCTGTACTTCTCTTTTATTACACAGTTTTCCAACAGGAATCACTGAAGCTGCATTCTATCTATTTTCTTTTCATAAATCTTTTTTATTCACATTTTCAGTAGTTTAGCCTTTTTTCAGCATTTGTTGTGAAAATTTCCAGCATGTAAATTTCTTACTTGGGATAAAAATCCTTCTAAAGAAACCAGTTAAATATGTATCTTGCTTTTCAAAACTCAGAAAAGTAATTACACCTCCAGGTGAAAAGATAATCTTTGCATCAATACAGCTTATCAGCATCATGTTTCCTACTCTTGTTTTTTTTTTTTTAATTGTCATTCTTTTCTTTGTGTATTCAAGGTTTCCATCTCAGGTACCCTCCAAACAACTGGGAACTGGAAAACCTTCATTTGTAATAGTTCCTCCTGTGTCTGTGGTGTGCAAGTGGGTTGAAGTGGTAGGCTGGAATAATAGGGATGCCAAAGAGAAATCAGTGTTTTTCTGGCTATTTTCAGAGCAGTGAAAGCTTTTGAATAACTGTTCTATTCGCCTCACAGAACCACAAGTGAAAATGCACAGTGCTGCAATTACAGCTGTAAGAGCACAGAATCATATGTCAGCAAACGTGGCGTTCAGAGAACAGTCGCTGGTTTTTTGAACACGTGTCTTTCTTAAAATGCAGAGGAAACTTTCCCTTAAAAAACACTTTGTTTCTAATTATTCACAAATGTTAAATGGACTGTACTTTTCTAGTGTTATAGACCACCCAAAGTGCTTTACAATACAAATACTCACATTCACCCACTCACTCACCTTCATATATCACACACACTGAGGGAACAGCCATCAGGGGCAGTTTGGGGTTCAGTATCTTGCCCAAGGACAGTTTGACATGTGGACTGGAGGAGTTGTGAATTGAACCGCCGACCTTGTTTTCAGTGGATGACCCGTTCTACCTCGTGAGTTACAGCCACGACAAACTACCTCTTCGAAGCACAGCATGTTCACAACAGCAAACGTTGAAGTTTTCATGAACTGCCAAAAAACTTAAGACTTTGTGGTTGAATGCCTGCACCAACCAGCAAAGTTGCAAAGTTCAGTTATGACTAAAACTGATTTAGTGAGGTCATAGTGGCCTTGACCTTTGACCTTTGAACTCTGACCACCAAATTCTAAATCAGTTCACCCTTGGGTCCAAGTGAATGTTTGTGCCCAATATGAAGAAATTCCCCTCAAGGTGTTCCTGAGATATCGTGTTCACGGGAACGGGACGGTCGGACAGACAGTCTGAGAACGCGGCGCCTCCACGCCGGCGATAGCTGTGGCCGGAGGCGTTATGTTCTCAGATAACAATGTTGGAGATAATTAGTGAAGCATCGTGCGTGCTCACCGCAGGTTTTCTGAGCTGAACTCTGACTCCAGGAACTTGAGGAAGAGCTCCTGTCCTGCGGGGTCTTTCAGGGCCTCCTCCAGAGAGAAACCCCACTTCTTCACCCTCTGCTGACTGGGCTCCTTACTGGAAGAGATGGGAGGAGGATGGAGAGAGAGTATAAACATCCGAGAGAGAGATTTGAGACTAAATTACAGGGAGGGAATAAGACATTGAAAAGGGGCAGATGTTGGTTTGATGTTGGTGTCTTGAAAGCTGCGCATTATGACAATTTTCCTCCAAATGTTTTTCTCTGTGGGGAATATTTTCACCTCCTCTCCTGCCATTAATCAATTCAGCTGAATTATTAAGACACATTAAGCACAATGATTATACATCTGGTCTTATTAATTCCTGCATAATTCAGACAAAGCAGGAGTTCAGAGCATAGTGCAACTTGTTAAGAGCTGCGAGCGCCCTCTCTGAGAGATAATACTTCAGTTCATTACTTTCATATCTCTGGATAACAATTCAATGGGCAATCGGTAATTTCACATTTGTCTGTTATACAAAAACTCAGGTGGGTTATTTGATTTGAAGTGACTGTGAATTTCCTTTGCCACTTCGGTAAATGGCCAATCACTCAAAGTAATTACCTGTAAATATCCAGTGCTGTTAAATCAGTTCTTATTATTGCAGCCATCTGCTTTATTCTGTGTAGGTTCAACATACGAACACTCATTTCTGTTAAATTCTTCGAGCAAGTTGATTTGTAATAAAAACAGGTTGACAAGGTTTTGCCACACTAGTAGATTTTTTCATTTGTTCTTTTTGTTTTTTTTTGTTTTTTTTAGAAAATACAACTTTTAGAAGCAATAAAATAAAGTTTAAAAAAAAGTAAAAATGAATCTTTCCCAGCAGACTTTCAAGCATTTTGCAGTGAGGGAAAGGAAATTTTATTTTGACCCAAGCGCCTGTTCACTTGACAACACCTTTAAGATTAATGACAAAATGACACGGAACAGCAGCTTATTTTTTTTCTGTCCGAGAGCTCTACATGAAACTGAAAGTGGTTAAGTAATTACACATGAAAAATACAACCAGGGTTATGTCTGTACTGTATGTATGTTATGTTAAAACACAGAAACCCTGTATATGAACTGCCAGTTAAATCATTCACAAAAATGGACTTGAAATGTTCCCGGGCTGTGAAAGTGAAACTGCTGTGGGTTTCTGGTTCTGTACCTGGCCTCCAGGTCCCAGAAGGAAGGATCGTCATTGGTCCAGGGGTTGGACGGTTCTGGTGCAGTCACAAACGGGTCGTACTCCATGTACTGCTCAGTGTAGGTTATCAGACTGACACACACAGACACACACACACACAGAGGGGACAGAGGAGGGTGAGGGCATAGCTGGGGTTTAATAGTGACATTTTGATCATTTGCTCAGTGAGATCAATATTTCCTCTGTTTACTTGTGAATGTGACTTGACAGTTTTCAGAAGTAAATTATGAAAAAAACAAATAGTTAAGCAGGAACATCTGTTCTGATCAAAATCACCAAAGCTCAGATGTGAACCTCCTTCTTCTCTTTGATAATCTGAGATAAACAAGAAGTGAGAGACGCAGTGAAGCAGACGCCATCGACAACAGCAGCACTCGGAAAACGCTGTAGTTCTCACTTTAATACAAGAATCTATTATAACACTGTGGTTTCTGATCCACACCATGTTAGCCACTGTAGAAATCCTCCAGAGAGTATCTGGACTGCAACTATGACACGTTTGAGCCCCAACAAACTCTGTGAAAAACACCTTTTATCACAGCAAATGTGTTATAAACTGACTGAGCGTGTCACTTCATGACATCTTCAAGTTGCTCAAATTCAAATCTGCTCAACACTTCCTCTGAGGCAGGACATCAAATAAAATCCAGGAGCATTTGATTTACATGTCATTGCACTTATATGAGAATATGAACATAATGACTGAGAGCTTAGACTATTTTGCTTTTTAGGTGCAAACACATTAAGGAGAGTGATGGGGTAACCATTGCCACATCTGGATCTATAGAGACACCCAGAAGCTTTGTGCGGGGCCTGCAGAGCGTTTAACAAATACAACCCCAGTTACAAATGTTTGCAAACCAACAGCCATGGAAACAGACTGATCGCTCGACCAAGAAACTAAAGCAATCTCATAATCAGTTACATAGAGGAGGTCAGACAAACACTATGGATAAATCACAGGGAGCAGAGTGTACATTTACATCATTAGACCAGACAGAGACGACAAACAACCCCCTTGTAAAGTCCTGTCGGATCGGCGCAATGTTTGCAACAGCCGCGCACAACACAAGAGAGGGATCAGCACCACGAAGAGCAGCAGCATGAAGAGAGGCCGTTACAAACTGCACTGCGCTGAGTTTGTTTGGGTGTTCACGTGCAGCGCTTTCTGAATTATGCATAAATTTAATAGCAAGGAAGTCGTGTTTGCGAGCACAAAATAAAATCAAGCTTTAATCACTTTTAAGCTACATTCAAGATTTAAGAGCATCAAGAAAGAAGTGAATAAGCCCAAACCAATATAGACGTATGAGCAAAATAAATGCTTCAAGAAATGATGTTACCAGATTTAGACAACAAATAAGACTTCCTCATTATCTTCAAAGCTTTGTACTTTGGTTAGTTTAGAGCTTCCAACCCACAGAGCAGAATGTAACAGGAAGTGAAGCATCCTCCTGTGAGAGCCTTCGACTGTACAGTGAACATCATCAGGCTTCTTTCCCCATGTGCATATCAGCTCTTTTATTGTCTACAAGACTTTGCAAGTGCCCAAATATATATACATGAGTTTTATGATACACTGTGTTGAGACTGCAGAGACCAACTCAGGCACTGAAATAAAAATAACCCGAGCATTAACAAACCTCTGCAGGAAGTGATTTTCTACCTGTAGTGATTCAATCATCACATTTACGACATGTTTCGTCTTACTGGAAGAGCCGCTCCACTAGATGTTTTGAATGTTGCGAAGCACCTGACATGACTGATGTTGTTTGTCATGTTGTCTCTTGCAAGGTTTGGGTTAATGCCCCAAACTTTCCGCTCCGTGGAGCACCAATTAAACTCAGCTCCATGCGTGGAGACAGGAGGTTAAAGGGTCGTGGAGGCAGAGCGAGCGAACAGCCAGTAGTAATCACAGTTTTTCTGCTCTGCTGGGAAATTAATGGCTTTCCTGACTGACTGAGCAGAGGATGGGACTGTCGGGGAGGCAAACACCAAAGTGGGTCAGCCACGCGGCGGGGAGAGGGGATGGGAACTCATACAGGACGGGGGACAAAATAACAAAAACACCTGTGTGACTTAATGCAATTGAACATAACAGCCCTACACTAAATGGAACATTTTTTAAACTTATAATGTTCAATTTCTGAGTGACAGGAACACCAGCTTTTGGTCCCATTCCTTATCCAATCTTTTGAACTTGTCCCCTCTCCAGCCCACACTTACATTCTGAAAAATAATTTTTATTACCTTAAAAAAAGTGAAAAAAAATTGTTTCTAATGTATATTAACTTGTTTTGGGGCATTTTGTAATATCGTCTTTAAACTTAAATGTTCTCAAATGGTGCAATAACACTCGCGTGTTTTACGTTACAGAGCCTCATTTCCTGGATTCCTTCAAACAAGTCACTTTCTATTATGAAGGCTCTCAGTGCACGGGCAGATTTTTTCAATAAAATAAGATTTCCAGTGCTCACTGATACATATACTCTAATATATAGATATAGATTATATAGATATAGATTTTTTTTTTTTCAATGTCCCTGGAGCACGTCTGCATCCTATCGCCTCATTTCAACCATTTTATCTTGGAATGCTTGACTCCATTTTGTAGTATTAGATGAGGTGGAGCTGCTGTTATTCTCCTGTTTTTCAGTGAGGTTCCACATGGATGAGAGAAACACACCGGGACATGCAAGCGGAGGTGACGTGCGGCAGCCTGTGGCCTTATTCTAAATTGCAAACAATTCACCCTCAGACAACACAGCAGTACCACTTGTCTTTTTTCATACCTACAGTCTGCTTCTAAATGCCAAACTGAAAAACACCACAGGTTCAGATAGAGAAGTCAAAACCAAACTACCTCCATCTGCCACTGTTGTGCTACAGACACAGTAGACGGGATGTGAGAGGATGGGAAAGCCGGTGTCCCTTTATCAGCTAACGTAATGTGCAGATTGATGAGATAAAAATTAGACATGCTCTTCAGGATGTGCAGTATTTTCAGTGCGGCCGAGAAGTGAGTTTCCTGTACCTTTCAGCCACCTTAGACATCTTCATACAGTGACGGTCGAGCTGGGTGTTCAGGAACAAGATCTGGAACAGGAGATGACAGGAGTCAGTGTTTGTTTACCACCTATGAGTTGGTTGGGAGCTTCAATTTCAGACATTGCTAATGTTGCTATCTTCCTGTTTTATGGCCTTTGTGCTAAAAAAAAGTGATACTGTAGCCTAGATTTCTTGTCAAATTTGACCTGGCAGCACAAAGTGCATATGCAGCGTACAGACTGCCAATCTTATCTGGAAGGAAATCAAATGCTGGAGGTGCACAGCAAAAAAAAAAAAAAAGGAACTTAATGTAAGTTGACCATTTTGGCAATTTCAACAACAACGTTTGGAGAGTTTTTTCTTTTTTTTTTTTACCTCTTTCTCCACATCCTCCTTGGTGTCTTTTCTGTACTGGTGCGAGGGAGTGTGTATGGGACTCTGAGACTGTGTTCCCTCCTCCGCCACACCGTACACCGACTGGACCGTTTGAACGTGATGAGAGAGGATAGGTAGGAGAAGTAATAGAGAGAAAGAGCATGCACTTATTATTTTTCTTACAGTGCAGAAAAGGCTTGAAAATAACTGCAAAGGAAGCCACGGTGCATTGTGTTGTCAAATTAAAGGGATACATTTAACTAAATGAGAAATGAAAATAAGTCTCATTAAGAAACAGTGCTGATGTGATTATATTATTAACATTTCTAATATTAAAGTGATCTATTTTTTTAATATTTAATTTCTGTTTCAGTATTTTTCCATGTAAACATTCTTGGAAACAGATACCAGTGACTGAAGGTTTTACAAAACTACTTAAAAATGTAGCTTCAACTTAAAAATGTCATCAGCTCCTACCTTCTTAATTCTATGAGGGTTCTTCATGCGTCTGCATTTTCTGATGTCCATCTCTGTGGTGTTTACACATCCTGGCTGGAAAAGCAAAACAAAACAAAAGCACATTTTAGGAATCTCTGAAATACTTTACAGTGAACCCAAACAGAGCTGTGGAAAGATAGAAGAGACACAGAATGTGGATGGAAGATGAGGTGGGCGTCTATAATCTCACATGCACAGGCTTACCACAGGTCTGTGGACATCCCAGAAGGCTCTCTCCTGGCTGTCAAGGATCTTCCTCTCAGTTTTATCCTTCTTCCTGTCGATCCTGCGGATGAGATCAGTCAGTGTGAGATATCTTGTGGCTTTTCTGACGTCGGCATTAGATGTAGCAGTTGAATCGAGATGGAAGGATAAGAAGGAGAGGGAGAGATGGACTAGAGATGATAAAGTCGTTCAATCAGTTTTAACAATACGTGCTCAAGGGGTTTGGCACGGTCCCTGCTCCTGTCTGTGCGCCATCTTCTGAGTGTGTGCGTGCACCGCTTGCAACCAATGGACAAATCTACAGCAAGCACATCATCCCATTGTGCAGCACTGACTGTTTGGTGTTGCTGAAGGGAACAAACCTGCGTCCACTACAGTATCTTTATGTGGAAGTATCTTGACAGAGCGACATTCCCAGAAATGAAAGTAACCAAGTACATTTACTGAAGTACTGTGGTAAAGTATAGTCTTGAGGTACTTTCAGAAGGAAATATATGAATGTGCTACTTTTCAGATCACAATGTTACATACAAAACAAGAGATCTTGTAAAACATCAGTCAGTACTAATCTAGCAATATAATGTTTGGTCATTTAACAATGTTCAACAATAAATGTAACAATGTGTATTATTTACCTAAGTGTCTTAATTCTTCTATGACCACTGCCAATATACATCTTAATGTTTGCTTTACATACTTCAGCCACAGTAGATAAGGTGATATGACGACAAGAATACTGTTCTGTGTGACCATGTTAGAGACACACAGGAGGACTCAGTCATCAGAAAGTATCTGCATGCAGTTAGCACAAAAATCATGCAGGGGTCTTAATGTTTTGTGTGTATTGTTCTCACTTTAACATAAGATTATACTGCACTGTTTATCTTTTAGCCTAGGTGTGAATGACATCACTGCGTGCATTGTAGTTGCATGTGTTGCCATGGTAACAGAGCATACTTACTTGACCTGGGCCTCAGCCTGCATGTAGATAAACTCCCACTTCCTGGCAAAGGCTCTCTGCAACCTGGCTAGGTTCTCCTGTCAGCGACCAGGTAGAGACACGGGGACATGTTATGATCCAAACTGCCCAAGGAATAAATAATACTAAGGCTAAACACAATTAAATTTTCCAGACATTCCACAGTTTTAAAGAAGATCCTTCCGGAGATGCAATTTCGATCGCATATCATCCCAGACACACACGAGTCTGACCTTTAAGAGGTTGTGTTTCTCTGCCCCAAGCGTGACACACAGATCGATACTAAGAAGTAATAGCTTAGAGGAACAGTCAAGCACTCACCGCCTCATAATCTGCCAGCTCCAGCCTGGTCTTATTCTGCATGGTCCGCTTGCACAGGTAGATAGCTGATAGAGAGAGACAGACAGAGAGGATTTATCAGTATACACATTTCCCTGCTTCCATTCATCCACTCATCCATGCATCTCCCATCCCTCTATGTGCCCGCCTCACCTCTCCTCACCTCCCATGGTATGAGAGGACAATCAGTTTCAGAGGCCCTGTCCCCCTATCTGTTGCTTTAGGATTATGAGGTGGAGTGTGAAGAGGCACTGAGCTCTAAACTCCAGCCATGACTGCCTCTGTGGCAGGATGAAGGGCAGGAAGTGGAACTGTGATCAACTAATCCTGTTGACTGTTCCTCTCCACAGCGGAAGTTGTGGACAGCACATAGCTCAGCGGGAGGTTAGTTGTATTTATACTCAGGTATAACCTGATACAAACTGTGTTTACACTGCCAGGTCAGATTTTAATAACTACTCTTGTAAAGTTCATTATTTCCATGACAAATCTTGTAGTAAAGATTTCACTTTTTTAATTAACCCCGTTTTTGATACCATTTGTGGTGAAGCCATTGTGTGCACTTACATTCTATAGTTACATCTATATAGTAGTTTTAATTGTTAGTGGCAGTGTCTGTCATTCCGATGCAAGATTAAAACTGCTTCCAAATTTCCTATAAATGATCTTAGTGAAATAACATAAAAACAAAATCTCTAAAATATAATTCAAGTCGTCATGGGATGCTAAAACTCTTCTCTGAACCCCAGCATTGATGAAATCATTTTACTGCTAGCAGCTGGGCCTTTTTAAAAGCAAACGTTGCTATGTATTGAATCTTTCGATGAGAAGTTACATAAATATAATTGCTCGTTTCAGTAAATATGTGAAATTTAATTGTGTATTCCACACAGTTTTTGAGGGTGTGATCAAGTATCAAATGTTCAGGCATATCAAACATCAACAGCATGACTGGCTGACATCCACAGGTTTATAAAGTTAAATGTCAGTATAGGTCACATACAAACAAAACTATTGATCGAGCCCTGTGCTATGAAATATCTAATTGGTTGCCAGATTTCATACCTTTATCTATTTGTCTCTGTAAATCTGTGCATGTACCGTACAAACTGAGATAATTACATATTCTGTATAGTTATATAGTTATTCCTGTATAAAAGATTAACACTGTGGGAGTTGAGCTCTACAGCCAAGCTATAAATATTCACTTACATCTACACAAGAATACATTTACTTTTTTATTTTTTTTCTATTTGATGTTGCTTGGTGAAGATGATACAGGAACTGGAGAAAACAAAAATATTGTTCTGGGACCAGGTTAGGGCTGGACTGATAGAATCCCTATACAGAGGCATAAACCCTACAGCTGCTGTTGCTGTTTACTTGTATTCTGATGATTCTGGAAGTGTACTCTGCGCTCTGTGTAATGCCTCGTAAAGACTGGTTCTGATTTAGATCTACAGACTCACTGCACCAGCACATTTTATAGAAGGTAATGGATTAGAAGCATTTTAATCTGAATCTGAGGACCTGACGAATAATGGAGGACAATGGAGGACATGTTTTTCACTCACCAGCTATAACACAAATTAAATGTTTCCTACCTAGAGCTTTCCCAAAATAATTGGTTTAAAAAAAAAAAAGAGAACACACACACACACACAAAATGTCAATGCATCCCCTTAAGATTCTCACCGTAGTCAGTGTTTTCAGGCTCCCAACAGTTGGACGGCCAGAAATACGGTGCCTGAGGGGGAACAAAGTGAAAAGGTGAGAGTACAAAGTAGATCAACCAATGATTTATATTTCAACTACACAAACAAAATAGTGATGATGCATCATATTGGCTGAATTTCAAAGACTAAAATCTGTAATAAAAAGAAAAAATTGAAAAGTCAAAACTGTGCGCGCAAACGTGTCCTTTCCAAACTTTTTGACAAAACTGGAGTGATGGCGATGACCTTTACCAGACTGTTGCTTTGCCTCTGAGACACAGCAGTGCACATGATTGCCTTGCACCATTACGTGAGCAATCAAAACATTTTTATTATCATGACTGAACGGATTCAGAGCAGCTGACTCCTGAAACTTTTCCACCAGGAAAGAGGCGTCCTGGGGTGTTGCAGAGGAGTTGGAGCGCAGCAGCAACACAATAAAACGAGAGGCGGTGAAAGCTGCAAAAATAAACAATGTGAAAGCAGAACAGTAAAGCCAGCAGGCAAAGAACAGATGCTGATAGGACTGTTATTTGACATAGCTCACACGGTCTTGTATCACAGTTTTAAAACCATCTTTAGTTGTTTCAATGAGGAGAGATATTACATAGTGTTTAATTGTTTTGATTTTCCTTCTCTGTGTTCCTCTTTGTCTTGCTCTGCTTGAAAAATTAAATGCTAATGAATACTGATTATTTTTATGAAGCTTATGGCAGACAGCCCTCCTCCTCTTCCTCCTCCTCTCCCTCCTCCTCTTGTCGTCTCTTCCACTTCACTTTGAAGGAGGAGAACCAAGGTCAAAGCACGGCAATGTGCACTGCCGTCTGGTTTAATTAAATTGCTCCTCCAGCTCTGGTGAAGACTCAGCTCCAACAAGTCTGTGTTGCGTCGTCTTCCTTCCTATTCACCCAGAGATCATTCTAATCTCGTAACATACCACCCCACTGTTCCCCACTGAGGAATTTGAAAACATTGTTTCCTCTTTTTAATTAGGGAAGTCGGGATAAAGCAGCCTGGCATAATTAATCTGTGACTTTAATGCCAGTCTTTTATCTATGACCAGTGAAGGAGGAGTGAAATGTCAGCACACTTTGCTTTCTTTTTAGTCCCTTGACGAGACTTTAATTCTAGTGTACTACTCTACTACACTATGTCTCTGTCGGGCTTTTGGTACCCGCCTACTCAGCCTGAACCCCTCACTCGCTTGATGAATATTTTAACAGATCCCCATTCATTTTTAATAGGATCCCAGGATCCCATCATAGTACTGAGGAAGCTGTAGACAGTGGACAGGGCCTTTTGTCCTCAAGATCAAGATTGGTGTGTAATTCCATAATGGAACAAGTGATCTTTAACAGCTGATTGGAGTCTTTATGAAAGTAAGCACCCCCAGAGTCAGATTAACCTTGCTGGACTTTTTTACCCTAATGTAGGATGAAGAAGGGATTAGTTTGAGCTTAGGTCTGTTACTAAAGGCACAGAGCAATTTCCACTTAGTCATGAAAAAAAGTATCGCGCTGTAATAGGTATTACTTGAAAGATTTTTTTTTTTTTTTTTTTTTTTTACAGTGTATGCTTACAAACAGATCTCCATTTTTGAAATGGAGATCTTAAAATTGGGAATTTTAGTTATTTGTAAAACTGTTTTCCCTGGCTAAAATCTCCTGGAGCAACCCTTCAAAGCTCAGACTCAAAAAACTTCATACAGAGTCAACAGCTATGCTAGCAGCTTTGTGAGGCTTTGTACAGTGCTTTGAGCTAAATGCTAACATCACTACGCTAACGCGCTCACAATGGCAACACTAACATGCTGATGTTTAGCAGGTATAATATTTGTCATGCTCACCATGTTATTTGCCATTTTGGTGTGTTAGCATGCTAACTTTTGCTACTTCCAGGTGAGGCTAATATAAATGTCTTTTTTGTAGGTGTTTAGTGATAAACCAAAGTTTTAGAGAATTCAAAATTTCACCATGATGCTGGCTCTAGATGAAAAGTCAGGGATCAACAAAGTTCTTACACTTCATCATAAGACACACCAAAATGTTGAATCAACATAGAGCAACGCTGCTAGCATGACAGTTTTACATATTTGTATTCAGGTCTGTCAGTGTTTCTGGAACTTTGCCACAATATTTTTTCCTGTCACAAACAGGACATTTTCCCATCCATCTTTCTGTTGATTGCTCTACACAGTGAGAATCTGGAATGCTGTTATGATACTGCGCGTTAATTGTAAAGTAAATACTCTCCTCATTTGTGCTATAACTCAGCAGATGTCTCACCAAATTCAATCTGCTGTCACAAAATGTAGAACTTGATACTCTCAGCAGTGACTTCATACTGGATGATTTATGAGCTTGAGAATCAAATGCATTTTATATTCTGCTGGTATCCCATTCTGCTTGATATCACAGATGAATGTAGATTACAGTACATGATGTAATGTTTTTGAATGTAATAATGTGTGTAGAAAAATGTCCATGTATTAGCCTCCTTTCTTTTTGTTTTCTCTTGCCTCTGAAGGTAACGTAACATCTTCAAAACTCATGTGGGCTGGGCACCTTTAATGACAAGTATAACGTTCATTCATTATCCATATCACTTATCCCTATAGGGCCGTGGGGGGGCTGGAGCCAATCCCAGTTGAAATTGGTGTGAGGGTGGGGTACACCCTGGGCAGGTCGCCAGTCTATCACAGGTCTGACATATAGAGACAAGCAACCATTCACACTCATTCACACCTACGGACAATTTAGAGTCACCAATAAACCTAACATGAATGTCTTTGGACTGTGGGAGGAAGCCGGAGCACCTGGTGGGAACCTACACAGGCACGAGGAGAACATGCAAACCCCCGCCAGCCAGCAGGTTAAAACCCAGAACCTTCTTGCTGTTAGGTGATGGTCCTAACGCCTGCACCACCGTCATTATAATCTTTTCAAAATAAATTTAGTGGCTTTCGTGGCAACATTTGATCCTCAACTCAGTATCAGGTGGCTATAAAGAGAAGTTGAACCAATTGTCAATTACCCCTTTCTGGTTTCTCAACAGACTATGTGACCCTAAACCTGACCATGATACCATGAGACACCAACCTTTGAGATTAACCCTAGACATTGAGAACCTAAAATTTCACAGAACTTAGTTGGTCATGCATCGAGTATCAGTCGTGAAGTATCTTAAATATAGAGTCGAGCTGATTTGTTCATTCTTTTACCACTTGATGGTCTTGCTCACCTGAAAGCGGTAGAAAGTGCTATCATCCTTGAGGGAGAGGACATGGTCTGAGATAGGGAAGAAGTACCCCTGAGCTGCGATGAGACTCCCGATGTGCATGGCCTCAGCTGCGAAAGGGAAAGAACAAGGAGTGCAGATCACAGCGGGTTCCTCAGCACTCCACATATTATTTCTAATGCAATATCTATATGGATGGAATTGACTATATAGTCAAAATATCAGGACCACGAAGTCAAACTATACTTCTATAACAATGTTGTAACAATGAAGATTTGGATGAAAGCCACATATTTACAGATTTCCCATCTTTACATCATTAAAAGTCAAACATTTGCTGCATATAACGTTATTGATCCCAGTTTACCATATATTTAAATAGCCTGTTGTATCATGTACCATGACTCAAAGATTGACTCAGTGTCCACGCTGTGGGCTACTGTACCAACAATAAACACTGCTCTCCCACCACCATGCCTCAGGTCAGGCCAACTGAACAAATCCATAGCAAATACTAGCCACTATGTTTTTTTTTTGTTTTGTTTTTTTTTGTTATAAGTAAAGTCTGTTCAGTAAAGGCTAACTGAAAATATATTTTGTTCAATTCAGTTTGTGTTTCTCAAATGGTAAAAATGTATGTCTGTAATATGTGTCTGACATTTCATGAACTGGACTCTTGTCCGCTGAGAAACTTGTCGTTATCTGTTTTCCATTTCATGTTCTCAACATTAAGATAAATGTACCACTGTATTTCATATTGTAAAGTAACAACATTTGCCACATTAAGTACAAGATATTAATGGTTGTTTGTGGCTGTTACTATATAATATACACCGGGGAATGCGTTTTTGTACACATTTCCTACAGTATTTGCATATCTTTTTGTTAGTAAAGTCCTGTAGTTCCATGACTTCTGCTCTCACAGGAGGCTGTGGCCTTTAAACAAAGTCATTACATTCAGTACAGCACAGTCAAGTCAGGTATAATTTTTCAAAACTTACCTGGATCCTCGATGGACAGACTCTTCATCAGCCACTGAACAATATCTGCACCTAAATCAGGTCAGAGAGAGACACATGAGAGAAATGCTGGGGAGATGGGGTGTGATTTTAAAAAAACAAAAAACAGAAGATGACGGGGTCAAAAGTTAGAAAGGCAGTAGAAAACAAAAATTCAGTACTTTCATCACTACTTTTTGAGCCACACTTTTAACGCTAAATTTAAACATGGAAAGTCTTTTCCATCACGTCTCCCTTTCAAATCGAAACAAAAAGTGTAACAACAAACAATTCATTAAACTAATTCACTGGCTGATATGTTTTTCATTTAAGGTAAACACAATAAACTTGTGCATTGCTGCTCAATGAATAATTTCAAAACAAGAGGATCTGATGAAGAAATAATAACTTTTTGACTGTTTCATATCAAGCTCTTGTCTTCAAGATGAAATAATGATCCAAGTAAAGTCTTTACCTCCTGAAAATGAAGATTATCTACAGCCACTGATACTCAGGAGAGTAATATTTAGAGATCTGACATTATTTTCTGTAATAAGTATGATAGGTAAACCTCCCTAAAAAGCTTCTTTTTTGCTGTGGAGATAGAGTATCATCTTATCTGTGCTCCCCCTCTGCTTTGTCTGAGCCCCGAGGGAGGTGGTGTTTAATTCTCCATCATTCATTAAGTTTCCTGGCCCCCGGCACTCAGCTGCAAAGATTTGAGCTGCTGCTCTGCACATCCATCCGCTGCTGTAGTAATTGTGTTTATTGATACGCTCTGCTTATGGCATATTGGGGTAATGCATTTTCCATAAGTGCAAGACGGAAAAAAAGAAGAATGATAATAGCCTTCCTTTGTTTCCATCATTTCTATGGGGTGTGTCAAAGCCTCCCACTGCGGCTCCAGCCTGTTAAAGTGATTTGGGTTATCAAGTGAAGCAACTACAGCCAGCAGGCAAGGTGGCTGCGGTAACATCCATCCTTCAATAGCTTACCTTCAACTTGCTAACAATTGTTTTCATTTTGCGTCCATTTTTCATTTCATTTTTCTATTTCAAATCTTTATTTATTACAAAGTTTATTTCCAAAGTTTAACTGTGTGTTTTCCCAGTGAGATAGTCGCACACATTGACCCCCTACAGTCCCAGCTTTATTGAAGTAGTCGGGGCTTGATTGCCTTGCTTAAGGGCACCTTGACAGTAGGAGGACAGCATTACTCATTCTGTTTCCACACTTGCACCTTCTTTTCCACACATTTAATCATATGTTGTCCGCTCACTCTCCCTCCAGGTGTTCAGCTATCCTCCAGTGATCCATTGCAGAGAAAAAAAAAAAACAGAACAGCAGCCTTGACACAACCACAATGAAATGCAGCCACAAAACCCGCTGTGTTTTCGTGTGTTAGGGTGTGACTCAGCTGGAGATCTAGCTTGTACTTTTCTCCAACACTATCACAATTGCGATCACCATTCACCATGGCCATGGGGCTTACCCACAGAATGTGGTAAAATGAAACAGGCTAATTACTGGTTGCTGAACTTTCTTCTGGTAAAGTTCTGAAATAAAGCAGAAACTGATTAACTGAAAGGGCACCTCTCAAATAAATTCATGATTTAACTAAGGGAATAGTTGCAAATTTTGGGAAAGACTTTTATTCACTTTCTAGCTGAGAATTGGATGAGAAAATCGATACCACATCTGCCCAATCAATAAGAAGCTACAACCAGCAGCTGGTTATCTTAGCAAAGCATAAAGACTAGAAACAGGGGGAGACACAGTGACAAAATCTGTTTACCAGCACCTCTAAAACTCACTAATAAACGAGTTATATCTCATTTGTTTAATCTGTACAAAAACCCGAGTGTTACACTTTCACCAAAAAAGAAAGCTTTCCTGTACACTTTACCCTGGAAACAACGAGTCATCTTTCCAGCTCTCCAGAAACATGAGGATCTCAGGGTGATGCATCTCAGCATTTTCCACGGTGTCCTTCTGTCTTTCTCTCATCTCTTTTCACCAGGCACTCACATCACTGACGCACTTAATGTTTACAGACTGCAGGCTCTGTCACTGTCAGCCTCTGACGTCTTCCTCTCTCCATTTCTTACCTGTGACAACGCTGGGGATTTTGGTCATGAAGCTTTTGACAGTTCTGATGGGAACCCCCTCTGTCTCATCCTGGATGCGAGTGACAATGTCTTCAATCTGCAGAGGGAGACGGGCAAAGAGGAGAGAAAGAGGGACAGAGGCAGAGAGGAAAAATGAGAGACGGTCTAAAAGTTTGATCAATCTGAAAGTTCTATTTGAGGCAAGGATTGACTGAATGGCCTATATTTAGCATTTTGATATCAATAAACCATCACCACATTACTTTTAATCTGCTGGTTTCTACTCTGTATTTTATTGCTGCAATTTGTCTCAATACAGAGGCTGCCTCTTTCACAGTCTGCAGTTATAGGGCTAATCATTTGCTTCAACCACTGCCTCCTTTGTAGTCCTCATTAATCCAAACGCCCAAGACACTTGTGATGATACTGCGGTGAATCATCTTTTGTCCATCTCATTTAGAGAAGAGGATGCAGGTTCAGCTCACTTCCCTTCAGCCTATGGAGATGGCACTTGCACAAACTGCCTGTGCTGTCTGTGAAATTAGACACAGCCTGTGTGTGTACTTCAGCATACAATCTGCTGGATGGTTTACAAAACAGAAGGTCGCTATTATTTCAGCGCAGAAACAGAGCTTTCAGAGTTTCTGATGCACCAAAGCATTTAATTAATTTGCCCATGAAATTCGAATGTGTATGCGTGCTATGAAGTGGCCACTTGAACTTCCTGAAAAAGTGCAGTTCATTTTCAATGACAAGATTATTCTTCACTAGCTGGTGTAACTAAAAATGCAACTAATAAAATCTGATTTAAATCCAGCCTTTCTGCCCGTCCTTTCAAATTAAACTTCATCTCTTTTCAAAGAAAATGTGTCACATAAAGGGAGTAATAATACCATTTCAAGGGAGCTTTCAATCTGCAAAATACACTAAGTTTAATTCGATCCCTATATATTGTTGCTACAGTCATAATGTCTATAAAAGTATCTACAGCAGCATTAAATCATGTGATACAAGCAGGAAATGAGATTCCACAGGACAGCGCATGTCTTTGGCCCATTGTCACACCTGTACAGATAAAGTGTTAAATAAAGCACTCTGCCCACTTTACACTGAAATCATCAGATTGGAGTTTGATTTACTTTTGTTTTGATTGCAATGTTGACACCCCCTCTCTGCACAGATGCTTTTTTGTTTGCGTCAGAGAGTGGGAAGTGAGAAGTTGGTCGCTTTGGAGACAGAAACTACCACACAACTCAGATGCTATATATAAACCCTGAACCCAATCCAGAGCAGAGAGAAAGAAGGAGAGAGAAATGGCTACATGTGTGTGTTTTTTTTTTTTAACGCCTGGACCTTTAAAGTGATGACGTTAAAAAAGTGGTACAAAAAAAAAAAAAAAACACATTATAGAGAGAACATTATGTGCACACTCACAGTGATGCATGCACAGACCACTAGCTCCTAGAAAAACACTTTCAACTTCTGCGCCCCTAGTACCCGCAGTATACTGTACTGCAGATGTGTCCTCATGCTGTGTACATTTCTCTGACCCTTTTAGCTTTATGAGTATATTTATAATGTGTGAGCTTGCTGTCAGTGGAATACAATTCTAGCAAGCTCCCACGCTGGGTCAAAGCTTACATGACTACTTCCACAACAGACTCATACAGACTCTACTTAATGTAGAGTGCTTTAAATAGACTAGGCATGCTATACTGCACGTCCTATACAAATCTCCCAAGATCTCTTTAAACAACCTGATAATTATTGTATCATCATATGTCCAAGAATACAAAAAAATAAATAAAAAGTACCTTGCTCTACCTACTTCTGCTTCAAAAGATTGATAATGTGGCTAAAAACATGTGATCATTTCCAGCATAGGAACCTGAGGGAGTAAGCTGAGAGTGAGGGAGGTAAAACTGGCAGCAAATCTGCTACAGAAGAGAAATTTAGCTGCTTCATAAGGACAAAAGGAACAAAAGCATTATAATGTTTTTGGCCTGTGGACTCTGAATGGCTAAATATGTTGTTTTTTCTGCTCCTATTGCATGACCATCAGCACTTACACTAAAACATCACATTTGGTTTTTTGGTTTGGTTTATTGACAACTATATGATATTTTTATAAAACACAACATATCAGACTTTGAAAAAATCCTGACGTTATTTCCATTGTTGTTCCTTGTGTTTTACAGCCTAACAACCCTTAGACAGAAAAGGCTTCTTTTTTTTTGACTGACTAAAGAAAAATTTGAGACTAAGAAGAAACCTTGGAGATTTAAATAAAAGCAGAGAAACAATAAAATCTTTTCTAGGAGCAAATAAGCTGCAAGGTTGAGTTGTGACCTCATCACCTTTCCCCTTAACCATACTGTGGTCTTAGTTACCCCTACATCCATCTACTAACCCAGTTTTTGGCTGTTTAAAGGAATACTTTATGTTGACACCTTAGGAAATGTGCTTATTTGCTTTCTTGCCAAGATTTAGAAGAGAGAATTGACACCATCACCCCCAAAACCGTTAGCTATTAGCTTGTCTTAGCATAAAGACTGGAAGCAAAGGAAAACAGTCTGGCTCTCTCCAAATTTAAACTAAAAATCTGCCCAGCAGCCCCTCTAAATCACACAAATAATTAATATGCACACAAACAGAAATGCATCAATTATACAAACACCAAGTCATGTTTGTAAAAGGAAATTGCACACTGTACTATTTATTGGCTAGTGACTTCCTGTAGTTTCTACAGTGATGACAGAACTCCACTTTATCTTTGGACAGAGTCAGGCTCTCAGGTTCCCTCTGCTTGCAGTCTATATGCTAAGCTAAATAATCATCTCTTTTCTAGCTCTTTACCTAAAGGATAACTGGCATTTTTGAACTCTTGGGTGTAATTGAGAGATTGGGGGCAAAAATCGCTCCACTATTGAGCAAGAACGGTGAACCTGCTACCGCTAAACAGCTGCTGCAAAGTTATCAAACTCTGTACTTGTCCGTGTCAAAGTGTGTCCACTAAAAGTGCTTGTGTTTGGCACAAAACAGCAAATATTAATGAAAAGAACAGAAAGCCTCCCTCTTTCATGTCCCAGCGCAGATGTTCCCAACCAATCTGCAGATTCAAACTGACAAGCCTTCTGCTTTTACGTCTCCGGCCATCAGTCTGCTGCTACCCTTCTTTCCCTCTCTTGTTAAAAGAAACAGATCCTGGCTGTCCGCCACAGGCAAGGGGCACAGGCAGCTTTGGGCTACACATCAGAATCAATATAATAATACGATTCTAACAAGACCTTGATGGTGTGTGGAGACAGCTGCTCAAATGACTTTAATGGCTTCCGCTGTCATGAACAATCAACCCCTGCCCCATTAATCAAAACAGGTATTCACAAAGGGTTTATCGCAGGTTACACCAGCTGTTGACCCCAGAGTTTTAGACAAAGACGCCGAAATTATCCTCCTCATGACAATATACATCCAGAAAAAAGCAGGATACTAAAAACACAACACTTCCTGTGGAGTCACAGTTGCATTAGATTAATCATAGTAATAAGTAGTGAACTAGTGAACATGTAAACGTGCGAATTAGTTGTTATAGGCTACCAGTGAGCTTCATAAGTGCTACCCACAATGCTCGAACAATCTCAAACTGGGAAACCAACAAATCCAAGAAGAAAACAGATCATATTACTGGTTATATCTACAAAGTGAAAAACTTAAACAAATTAAGCAGCATTCACTTCTACAGTATCTGCATTTCCCTGTTACATGCAAACACAGGGCTACTGTATAGACTTACACATTTCATGACGGAGATCACAGTTGTCTACAACAGTTTGTGTGGAGTAAAAACAGATTTTGCGGTTACACACATACAGAAAAGTTTTTGGGACCAAGGAAATTTTGCCTGTTTGCTACTTCTTGGTCTACTTGGTCTAGACCAAGACCCGCTAGACCACTAGACCCGCTCTGTGTCTGGAATACCAATAAACTCACACCACTACAGCAAACTTTGGAACTAAGGACTTGAGTGAATTTTCTTCAACAAGCTGCTGGTTAAGATGATTAGGGTTAGTCTTATGACAAACATAGTCTATACAAAAGTGTGCTTGTACATTATGTGAACATGCTTGTGACAGCCGAGCTCGTGTGTTCTGTTTTTGTATTTAGTCTGTGTTGTATGAATGTGTTTGTGTTTCTGTCGCAGCTTTGAGAGCAGCCCAGTGGGAGCAGATTTCATCAGACTTATTGCGAGCCGCTCTATTTAACTCCCCGTGGGGCAGTGGGCTGCCTGATTACAATGTCATCACCACACGCTTAGCACGGACCAACTAGCGGGCTTGGCAGGCAGCTTGGCAGACAGGTGGGTTATGGGGAGACAAGGACTATGCTGTTGATTGTAGTTTAATGATCTCTTCGGGCAACAGGATGATCATTGGTTTATTCTCACCAGTGTTGCAGATGCCATTGTCTCCGTCCCTCAGTAATCTGTTCACTGTTTGAGTTTGTATCATACTCACTGGAGTCTTATGCAAGAAGCATCTGGTGGAGTGTGAAGGGATAAGATAAGATAGAGATAAAAATATTATGGCAAAGTGCAGATTCATCTTCAGAACCTGTTTTAATCTATTAAAAGGTGATGAAGGAAGTTTGTGAATTTTTTATTTAGGTAAAAATAGCAATACTACAACATTAAAATATTCCATTACAAATCCTGTATTAAAAATTAAAATTATTACCAGTTAAGTGTTGAAAAGGCTTCAAAGTAAAAGAGTTCTCATTTTTTTCTCATTATATAATAATCTCTTTCAGAGTATTATGTATTATATATACTACACACACACACACACACACACACACACACACATAAATATTATTAATTTTAGATAGTTTAATCTAAATTGAAAGCATTACATTTTGTAAGATACTCATGTGTTTGGTATGGAAAATACTAATTTGCAAAGTAACTAAGTAATTATAAGAGTAAAATAAATGTAGTGGAGTAAAAAGAACAATACTTGTAAATGTAAAGGAGTCAAACTATGAAGTAGCATCAAATGTAAGCCCTCAAAGTAAACTGTATCAGATTGTACGCAGTACAGT